TAGCCTAAAGGTCGACTGTTAGACCCATGCTGCAGCACCAGAGGAAAACGATCCAGTGATCTACCACCCTAAAGATTACAGCCAAGAAAACCCTATGGAGTAGCTCTACTCTGTAACACACAGGATCACCTAGAATTAGAATGGACTCACAGTGGCAACAGGATTGTTCTTTTTTTATATACAGCTAGCACAAGTTCTGGTGTGTGCTGCAGGATAATACGCTGGACCAAAGGGTCAGTGTTAGCTACAAGATCAGCCGTCCAAACCCACCAGCCACTCCTTGGAAACCCTATACAGAGCTACTATGAGTTAGATCCGTCTCAATGACACTTAACAATAGAATGCCCAGTAGCACAGTGGTTAAAATTCTTGACTGCTAACCACCAATGACTTTGTCTGTCTGTTTCTGTAATAATTTACAGGCTTGGGATGCCTGTAGAGCAGTGCTCCTCTGTCTTACAGGGTCTCTACGAGTTGGAACAGATTTGATGGCAGTGGGTTATGCTTTTTGAGAAAAGTTGCAGTACAATGTCTTAGCTTTGGTTTCTGTTATTTCTGTAGAAAACTACAGATCAACGTGGAACTTGTATAATGTCTGTCTCAGGGATGGAAACAGCCCAGATGAAAACATATAGAGTCCATGCGAGACTCACTCTGATGGGGCATAAAGGATTTATAGCCAAAATTACAGTCAGAGAACTAACAAAAACAGTAACTATTTATGAGCCAGTCCATGAATATTCATTCTAATCACTGTATAGTAATCAATTAGTATACACTGCAAGAACAATAGGAAATCTAAGGCTACAGATTACAGTGCTGAATAAATCATCATTTTAAAATGACATAACCAAAGAGAACTCATTTTCCTTTCTGAAGGAAAATTCCTTTTGTCTTTCTTAGTGGGATAAATTAAAATAATGCAAAAATTAGATTTGAGTGCCTCCCCCTACAAATACTGGTCAAGAATAGTTAGTAGTATATCATTCGATTATATAGCTTGGATATTCATTACCTTGTTTGCTTAAGACTGAATGCCAAGTAAAACAGTGAGCATACCAAATTCCCAGTGTTTCATAGTTCAGTGCGATTTTCAAAAATTATGCTATAATAATTCTTTGGAGGACATGTTATCAGAAGGAACCAGTCTCTACAGAACAACATCATACTTGGTAAAGTAGAGGGTCAGCATAAGAACAGGACATTCAAGGATATGGACTGCAAAAATGGGATCAAACATAGCAAAAACTTTGAAGATGGTGCATGGCAGACAGTGTGTATAGTCTGTTGTGCATATAGGGTCTCTGTGAGTCCGAACCAACTCAACTGTACCTAACAACAACAACCCAGTAATCATATTGCAAGTGGAAATGTTCAATTCATTTTCTAGTTATTTTCTGGATTTACTTTTCATAGTATCAAGTAGTCTGATCTGTTGGTAGTTTGAATTCTTAAGTGTAATGTTTCAATTTATATTACCAGAAATTAAAATAAATGGTAAGAAGGATCAAACTCTTCTAAAAACTAACTAAACTAAGTCAAACCAAACCATAGTAGTGCTAAATCAAAATGCTCACTGATCAAAAGTTTGTAGTAATTAATGTCAGACATTTGCTGTATCTTTCCAGAATTGTTCTAAGTTATTTCTGGCAGCCTTTAATGAAGAAAAAAAAAAAAAAAAAGCATATCAAAATAATAGTGACAGTATGAAAAAAGCAAAACAAAACAAATCTGCGATGGGATGCTCAAAAGAATCCAACTGGGTAGTGCACACGTGTATGTATGCACACACACATAACACACACAGACTTCCCACTCTGGACCTGAAATGGCTGAGCTGCAGGTTGTTGTTGTTTGGCAGCCAAACAGAATCTCTTCAGCCACAGAGTCATCTGTGACAGATAGGTCCCGTCAACCTTAGACATGGCCAGATAAATACTAAAGGGCACATTTGGCCTTTCCATTATTCTATACTTTTGTTTGAAGTCAGATGTTGCTCCATTTTATCATTAGCTAAGTTTAGGCTTTAGGAGAAAAATATTCACAAAGCTATGTCTATTCCATTTGGAAAATAAGAGGGAGAACCAAACTTCTTTGATTAGAAGACTGGAAGATAGTCCTGTTTGAATTAATTCTACGTGTTGTGTCTAGTCTGTTCCAGTACATCTCCCAGTTTCCACGAGCCCTCTTTCTTTCATTAAACTAAAGTAGGTAATTAGCCCAAGCCTGTCCTCTCCCCTTCTCTTTCCTTTTTCTCAGTAGTAATGATGACTAATTAACAGTAGCAGTGGATTACTGCAACATCACGAGTATATCTCTCTCACTGAAAGCAAAACCAGACGCAAACCTTCAAACCTCAAGCAGATTGAAATGATTCTTAGTATACTTGAAAATTTCATTCAAGTACAATACATTATTTCAACCGATAAATGCCTTTGAATGAAAATATGGTTTTTGTCTTCTTCTCAGTGAGTGTACTCCTACCATCATGAAGAAAAATCGACTCATTTTTAAGGTAGAAATAATTTCAGTTGTGAGGGATCACAATATAAAAGGGGATCTTTTATTATATATTTTTTAACTTATTCAAATGGTGATTGGCTGTCTTTCAGAGAAGGAGGAGTCTATAACTGTCAGAAGCAGCATAAAAATTTCATAAAAGAGCAATAGAGAAATTCATGAATTGAAAATCTCTTTAACAGAATCTCAACACATGATTAAATGAAGAGCAAAAGTCTTAAATACTACACAGAAAGTATTATCTAATAATACCACCTGATAGATTACATTTTCTTCCCTAAACACTTAGAATCTTTACTGAAAAGGAAAGCACGTGTTACTATATTATACTGTATTACTAACCTTGATGTTGTTACTCTACATAACATATCTTAATAGCAATTTTTAATGAATCTACATTAATTTTGACTGAAAAAAAGCTGTACATCTGAATACGTAAATTGTGATTTATCCTAGTTTATCTTGTATAAAACAAAAAAGTCCATTGTTATTGAGTGAATCCCATCTCATAACAATCCTATACTTTGTATAACTGTTACAGAATGTATGCTAGATAGAATCTTAAAGTAATTCTAAAATAAGGATAAGGATATTTACATATATATTGGATGGAACAGATCCATGCAAGTATAACTCATTTGACAAATATACAAGTGAAGCTACTTAATTGGTAAACAGAGGGACCTCAGTTGAACATAGAAGGAATGAAAAAAATTTTTTCAGCTAGCATTTTTTTCTTTAAAATTATATGATAATATTCATTTAAAATTTAAATAAGTGTTTTTTAAATACTTATTTATTTATTCAGTTAGTCCAGTACTGACCAAAGGAAAATCCATTTTTATGTTTTGAATTCTAATTTAATTTATTTAACAATAAATTATATTTTAAAATCACGTTCTTAATATTATTCTCAACATAAATGAATCAAAGCATTCACTCTCAACCAGATTTCTGGCTCAAGGAGTTGTAAATTTACCTCAGTCCTAATTCATACCTATTTAGTTCTCATTATTTAGTAAAGCAAGACAGTAATCTCATCATTGAATTTAGCAATGCCACATGTTAAAGAAGAAGGCAGCATTTATATTATCAGCGTCTTAGAAACGTTCCAACAAGAGTATATTTTTGGGAAAAGAGTAGAACTTTCATGTGTGTTTTCGTTTCACCTTTATTTTCATTTCTCACATTCCATATAAATTCCAAATGAAATAGACTTCCTTTAAGCAACTACCATTGATTTATCCCGGGAAACCAGACACTATTTTCCAAACCTAAAAGAGTCCAAGTAATTCTTTAAAAAACCCTTCATGCACATATTTCCAATGGAATATACCTCAGTTAGATATGGAAGAACAGTTTTCAAGACATCTCCATTCTTGCATCCTCCAGGAATACTGGACCGGGAACAGTTGCCAGTAAGGGAGGGCGAAAACAGGAGCAAATGCTCAAGAAATACCAAAGCGAGGCAAAAATGCAAGGACGCCAGCTACCCTCCCCCACCCCTACTCCAGGGGAGTACCCACCGTAGTATGTTGCAGAAAAGGGTCTAAGGATCTGACCTACATTTCTACTAGTAGCCCGTAGTTCCCCTTCTTCTAATAAAGGGAATTGGCACTGCTGCCGATCCCTTGTCCTACAGGGTTTTGCGCTGTGACTAAGAGATAGATTGGAATCTCGGTGTCGGTGCCTGGTTTGGAGCTTTGTGGCCATGAAGTGGAGTCATCCCAGGAAAAGGAACAAACATACACCATTTGACTGTGCCCAAACCCATCTCTTTGTTACTCAACATCTAGATGCTGCTTCATTCGTGGAAGTGGGGAAGTGAGAAGAGGGGGGTGGGGTGGACAGGAGACGCGGAATCATCAGAACCTATCTACAGTCCAAACAATCGAGGCAAGGAAAATCCTCTGGGAATTATCGAAGCGTTGGGGCTGCCCCAACTCTCCAAAGCTGCGGTCTAACAATAAAGCCTGGAACTGTCCTGGGATAAATCCCACACTCAACGACTAGCGCCACTTTCGGGCTTTGTGCCAATAAGGAGACACTCTAGACTATTGATCACAATCATCTATTATCAGAGAGTGCGGTTGGGGTTCCAGTGTGGCCTTTATGCGAGGCGGCAGCGGGACACGCGCCAGGCGCCCAGCGAAGGACATGGGACAATGGTCCAGCCCGAGGACGCCGGACGCCGCCCGACCCGGGGAAGGAAGCTATAGCAGCCAGTCTAGAAGCCGGGAGGCTGGGAGGACTACCGGCTTCGGAGGTGCGCTGCCGCTTTAAAATAAAGGACCACAAAGACGCCGCCACCACGGTGGGGGAAACGCGCCAAGCTAAGGCGGGTGGGGGGGACTTGGGGAGGGGGTTGGGGGGGCACACAAGCCAACGGTGGCTCACGACTCCCCATTGCTCCCCCTCTCTCTCCTCTCCCCGCCGGACTGCTCCGGCAGACAAATAACAGAGGAAGGCGAGTCACTCACCGTGGTCTTGACTGGCACATAGAGCACTTGCTTGGCGCCACCGCCACCCCCGCGGACCTCTTCGGGCTGGCCCAGCTGGAAGCCCTTCGATTTGACCCAGAATTTAAATTTGGCGTTGTCAGTGGAGCTCGACTCGGAGCCGTTGAGGAGCTGGACGATCCGCTCGTATTTTTTACGGGTCACCGTCTTGGTCTTGCCTGAGTCCCCGTAAGTCCTGAGGCACCAGTCCTGAAACTGACGGTACATGTCGCGCTCGCTCTCCATGTTCCCCGCGCCCGGCCGCTGGCCGGATGCTCCCAACGCACTTCGCACCTGTTCAGCCCCAGCTCATGAAAAATGCGGCCCTGGCCACGACGCAGGGATGCGAGGTCCCGGCTGTTGCCGGAGTCTGCCTGGGGAGGGAAGGGGGGGTTTAGGGAGCGACGGGGAGAGGGAAGGAGGGTCCAGTTGGGCACCAGCGATCAATGTGTTGCGCTCCCAAGTCTCAGGTCCATTCGTAATTGCAACGGATGCATCTGGACGCTTTGCTTGTCCTTTAAGTGATCGGTCTCTTTAATATCGTGTGGCCAGGACCATCCCAACAACATCTGACCCAGAGGAGTTGGGTTTTGAATAATTAAAATCCCATTCCTTCGTTTATTAAAAATCCCAATATTGACTTGGGGTGGTCCCTCGACGCCTCGCCCCCAGCTGCGTCCGGGGCAGGGCAGGTGAAGCGCAGCGCCGCCTCCCAGTGCGCCCCTGAAGCTTTTCCAGCCTCTGGCCCTGCGGGCCAGGAGTGAGGGTTGCGCCTCTCTGGAAAGCAGCCGCCGGGCTGCGCGCCTGCCTGCCGCTAAGGGAATACCGGGGCCCTGGGCTCTTCTTCCTCTAGGGTCCTGCTCCGCTTCGGCCTTCCCTGCGTCGGGCGTTAAGGGACTAGAAAGAGAGAAAGTTCTTACCTGCCATGTTTTAAAGCTTAACAAATCCTGCTTTACAGGATGTTATTTTGAATTAGGTATTTTTAAAACGCCTTAAGATATCATTTCCTCAGATGTATTTGGGTTCAATTCCAGCCTTGCATGTAAATTCTGCTAGTAAGGTCACAGAAATTACCAAAGCATTCATGTAGATTTGGCCATAGTTCTATCGGATAGACTGTGATGCCCCAAACAGAGATCTGTTCCAGAGGAAAGTGGGAAAACGAAGGCAGGCCACTGGCGGCGGGTCTCCAGAATAACGACGGGGCCCCCAGACAGGGCTCCACTTGTTTCTCCTGAACTGGGTACTAGGCATAGAGAAGTAAGTTTAAGATAAAGATGCTTAAACCCTTTGCATGAAAATAAGAGGGTGATCTGTTCCCCTTGCTTGGTCACAGTTTGCAGTTCACACGGGAGGTTTCGGATGTCTATTTTCCCCCTGCCACGTCATGGACACCCCCTCCACTGCTCAGAGTAGCCAAATATGAGTTCCTCTGGACGATTTTTCCCAAGCAAATGAAGTCAGCGGGTCCTCCATTCAGGATTTCAATCCGTTTGATACAGAGCTGAAAATAGGGGAGTTCCCATCCTCATCGTACAGCGGCTGCAGCCCGCTCCTCTTTATTATACTCTCCGCCGAGGCCCGCGCCCGTCCCGGGGAGCGGCCAGTTCCGTGTCCGAGCCCGCCTGCGCCCTCGTCGTCGCCTCCAAGACCAAAACCCCGAATGGAAACGCAGAGTGTTGGTGCCCACCGTGCCGCAGCAGCTGGTCCCGGCACTTGCAAAATGGTCAGTGGCTCCTGCTGGGCCAGGCCGAGTGTGTGCGTGTGTGTGAGAAAGGGAGCGAGGGTGTGCGGTGGGCTGGGGTGCGCTATGTGTGCGCGCGTCTCAGGGAAGGTCTCGCGGCGGCTGGAGCCGGGACTGACAGCCCGGGCGGAGCGCAAGCAGCACCACACACTAAACCTCTCGCCTCTCCCCTCACCCCCACCCCTCCCACTCCCCTCTCCTCCCACCCCCTTCCCTCCCAGGCCCCTTCCTAGCTCTCTGATTGGCCGATGGGACAAAAGTTTCTGTGGAGACGGCTGGGCGCTGACGTCACGGGCAGAATTGTCCCATTTAGGGATCCCGGGGGCAGTGCGCATGCTGCAGGCTGCAGGTTAGAAGCAGGAGGAGGTAGCAGCGGGCCCGGCGGCAGCCAGGTGGCAGAAAGGAGCTCACAGCATCCAGGTGGGGGGACGACTCCAGCAGGGTTTCCATGGAGATTCCTCTGGGTCTAGCCTAAAAACAGCAGATCAGCTGACACCATTAGCTCAGGACCTAATTACTGCTTATTGGAGCAACAAATGAGGGAGAGGGCCAGCTGCAAAGGAAGAGTTTTTATACCACCCCCACCCTCTCCTTTCTCCCCCTTTCCATCTCTCTCAAGTCCCTAGTGAATTCTCATTAACTTGCAAGATTCCTGCAACAACAGGCCCTGCTCTTGAGGCCACCTGACTGGTTTTATTGTATCTGATTTGCTTTTTTTTTGTATATATGCATATATATGTATATATACATACAAACATATATTTGTGTATATAGAACAATAATGGTAAAATACTTCAGTTGTCCTGAGGCCTCGAATCTTTGTCCAGTAAATACTAGGCCAGTAGAGCTCAGAGTCTACTCACTACCCAATAGACGTCACAAGTGAATCTAGTACAACTTAAAGGGAAAAAAATGAAAAAATCATTTTCATTTTATTGAACTAGGTATTTATCTTTAGGCTTCTCATATATATGTTAAGTAGTGACCTTGCAGGGTTTCCGAGGAGCAGCTGGTGAACTTGAACCGCTTACCTTGCTGTTCAAATCGACTTTCCAATACAGCGCATTAGCCCAAAACGTTATGGTAGTGGTGGTGGTGGTGGTGATGTGCCCTGGAAACACATAGCGACCCTGTACAGGGTTTCCGAGGCTGTAAATCTATACAGGAGCAGAAAGCCTCATCTTTCTTCTGTGAGACAACGGATAGTTTCAAACTGCTGACCATGAGATTTGCAGCTCCTTACAACACGATAGATAGATAGATAGATAGATAGATAGATAGATAGATAGATAGATAGATAGATAGATAGCCCTAGTGTGGTGATGTGGGTTAATATATGTTCTTGTTGTTGTTAAGCGCCGTTGAGTCAATTCCAACTCATAGTGACTCTGCACAGGGTTTCTGAGGAGCAGCTGGTGGGTTTGAACCATTGACTTTGTTGTTCACAATCCACTGCTTATCCTACAGCACCACACCAGGAGTCCATATATGTGTGTATGTGTGTGTGTATGTTTAATATCAGTACATTAAATAAATAGTTTAAAGAAACAATCTAACAGAAGGCTACTATCAGTCATCCTCCTAAGTGTGGTGTACCTTCCAGGAACAACTCCATTAAGTCTCCCTGTGGCAGCAAAGAGAGATAATGAGTCCAGGTCAGTAGATCTAGGTTTTGTTGTATATAGCTCACATGCTTTATAAAATATATGAGAAAGATAGTTGATTTGGGGGGAAAATTCATTCAAGATTGAGCTGGTTCTATGAAGTTTGCTTTCTTTTATGGTTAAACCTTAAGTCGCTATTATAGGATTCTTTTTGATAGATTTTTTCCAACTGAATAGTTATCCAATGTCCTGTAACCCTCCTTTAAGTATTTTCAGCCCCATGAAGCTTTCCATTGTTAACCACGGAAATGATAATAAACTTTCAGTCCATTAAATCCCTCTGGATAGTGTCTTTCAAACTTTCTTTTAACCTTCTCTCTTGTTGTTGTTGAGAGCCATTGAGTCAGTTATAGCGACCTTGAACAGAATAGGCTGGTGGGTTGAACCACTGACCTTGTGGTTAGCAGTCCAGTATTTATCCTAGCTCTACACTAGGATTCAACTCTCCTCGTAAGACATGTATTTTACATTGTCATATAGTTCATACATACATATGTGCACCAAAGTTTATGAACAGTATGCATTGCTATTTGCTATTCTTCTGTCTCCTATTTATTATTATTTGATAAAGTATGGTCCCAGTCCATTAAATTTACTTTATGATCAAGCACACTGTAACTAGAAATCTATGGTTTAAAAATTTTTAATTTAGATCATAAGAACTGTATCACTCCATGTTCTATATAAATATTTTTATACAGGTATTTTTACATAGAATATACACATACGTAGTTAGAAGGACCTTGAAAAGTTTATATTTTCTGGTTTTCCAGGTAAGCCTAGCACAATAAACAATGCACATAGTAACTGCTTAATAAATGTCTATTGAATTAGTAAATTTAAGGAAAAAATGAGAAAGAGAGGCAGGGGAGGAAGGCAGGTACTTGGCCTTCTTTGGCCATTGCTGTTGGCTTTTGCTGGCTGATATTTAGATGAAGTTTATTTTCAGTTGAGGAAATGATAGGGCCTTACCACATATGTGTACACATTATATTTTTGACTGTTTTTCATCCTAGTCATAAAAAAAGAGTCCTGGCGTGGCACTGCAGGAAAATCATTGAACTGTTAACCACAAGGTTGGCGGTTCAAAACCACCAGCTGCTCCGTGGAAACTCTATACAGGGTCTCTATGAAGCAGAACCGACTGGATGGCACTTCACAACAAACAAGTCATAAAAACGCATCTAGTGTGGTGTGGTAGGATAAACTCTGGACTGCTGACCACAAGGTCAACAGCTCAAATCCATCAACCACTTCTTTGAAACCCTATATAATCTGAGCTATGAGTTAGAACCGCCTCCATGGCACTTAACCATAACAGTCATACAAAAAATTAACAGAAAATAAACAAATATGTCATCTACTTTCAGTTATATAACTAGATTTTGTATACAAGCAATAAGAAATAAAATAATATGATCATACAGAAAGCGGTAAATGATTAGCTGTTGAAAGAATACTCACATTGGAGTAAAGGAATAGAGTCCTAGGATCTTAAGGACCAAGCTTCTCAGAGCGTGCAGCAGATTCCTATGGTGGCGGTTATGTTCCGTGGAGTCGGTTCCGACTCATAGCGACCCTGTACAGGGTTTCCGAGGCTATATATCTTTACGGGAGCAGAAAGCCTCACCTTTCTCCCACGGAACAGTTGGTAGTTTCAAACTGCTGACCTTGCAGTTCACAGCCCAATTCGTAAGCACTAAGCTGCCAGAGCTTCCCCTAGTAGAAGTCAAAGTGAGTTATTCTGAACTCATACTCATTATTGTGTTGCCAAAGGCAACATCTTTTGCCATGTTTTGCCCACCAAGGATTGTGTGCACCAGACAGAATATAAAATC